CCTTCCTTCCTTCCTTCCTTCCTTCCTTCCTTCCTTCCTTCCTTCCTCCTTGCTTCCTTCCTCGCCAATCTTCATCGCCAATCTGCTTCGCCGATCTTGTCTGGCCAGCTCCGGATCGCAGTGTGCACCCCTTGGACCTCAACCGCAAGGATCCCCTCGCAGTGTGCACCCCTGGACCTCAACCGCAAGGATCCGATCGCAGTGTGCATCCCTGGACCTCAGCCGCAAGGATCCGATCGCAGTGTGCACCCCTGGACCTCAACCGCAAGGATCCGATCGCAGTGTGCACCGCTGGACCTCAACCGCAAGGATCCGATTGCAGTGTGCATCCCTGGACCTCAACCGCAAGGATCCGATCGCAGTGTGCGCCCCTGGACCTCAACCGCAAGGATCCGATCGCAGTGTGCACCACTGGACCTCAACCGCTAGGATCCGATCGCAGTGTGCACCCCTGAACCTCAACCGCAAGGATCCCCTCGCAGTGTGCACCGCTGGACCTCAACCGCAAGGATACGACCATCCACTATCCACGCAAACACAACCACAAACACATAACCGCAAACGCACAACCACAAACACACAAACACACAACCACAAGCACATAACCACAACACAATCACAACACAACCACAAACACATATCCACAAACACAAAGACAAACACGACCACAAACACGCAACCACAAACACAACCACAAACACCCAACCACAAACACAACCACAAACACACAACCACAGCCACCAATACAAGCACAACCACAACCACAAACACACAACCGCCACCACATCCACAAACACACAATCACAAAGACACAACCACAACCACAACTACAAACACACAATCCCAACCACTACCAGTACCACAAACACAATCACAAACACAGAGCCACAAACACGGCCACAAACACAATCACACAGCCACAAACACAACCGAAAACACATCCACAAACACACAATCACAAACACAGCCACAAGCACACAATCACACACACAACCACAACCAAAACACAGCAGCACACAACCTGAGGACCCACAAGCAAATTCGAGAACTACAATACTCACGACCATCGCAACATGCTCTTCACTATGGCATCAAGACAAATGATTGAAGTGTCATGGTGGTGATCACTCGAAGTAAAGTATTTGTTTAGTTCACCTAATTATATATAGGGCTCATGAAGAAGAAGACATAGAACATAATACAACGTTTCGAAGGTGGTTGGGCTGGGTGACAGGGGGGTCACAATCAATTGGCATTTGCAGAACGCCTTCGGAAACGTCACCGTTTCCATCAGTTTGTTCGGTGAGCCAAATGCCATCAGAGTGTGACACCCTATACACCCCCTGGGGGATCCGGTGGTACCGAACCTCAGGTTCGGTACGACTGGACCCGACAGTGGCGCCGTCTCATAACGTCAGTGGGAGACCCTGCTCACTTTCTGAGGTTCGGTACGAATGGATCTGTAGGGACCTGTTGTTTGCTTCGGATTCCCACTTTCCCGGGTCAAGCTTGAGTCCCCCGGGGGGTGGAGGTGATCTGCTTGTTTCTGAAGCCGGTACTCAAAACAGGGCCCCCAGGGCCTTTCACCACGCCAGGGCCTTTCAACCAGTCCGGGAGACTTCCAAAAATGTCACCTGGATCAGCAAAACCTGGATTCCCAAACCCCTCCCACACAGCATCCAACACCGACCTCATCCTCTTTTCCATCCTCACCCGGCTCCTCTCCACCCGTCTCCCGGAAGTTGCGGCTTGCCGTCGACCACGCCTGGCCGGGTCACGGGAGTCTGCTCAACGGTGAGCGACCGGTAATTTGCGAACGGTGGTTTCAACTCCAATACCCAGACACTCCATGGGACTGCCAATATGCCTATACATTGGGATGGTTGAAAAGGGATCAATGTATGCATATGTTATATGCCATACATGGAGTGTCTGGGATAGGGTTGTGGATTAACGGTTGTTAAGCGGGTTGTTGATGTTTCTTCTCATCCCCTGTTCGATCAGCGGGTGAAGTGCCGACAACCACCGACCTGCGCCAGTACCATCGAAGCATCGCGACTGGCTGTCAACTGCAACCGGAACTGCCCGATTCACAGTGGAACCAGGTGTAAAAGGATACAGGGCTTTGCCAGGCAGGCCGAGGCTTTGCCAGGTAGGATGCAAATGTTTGTAGAGGTGATGAAAGGCAAAGAAGATATCACCTCGAGCACCCAGCTTGGAGGACTCACCCAATGGAGCATGGGGTCTTGCTCGGCCCTGTCTGCCCCCGGCCTCTGCACCACGAGGTCGCTTTCATCGGGGCCCCAAAGGATTCCGTAACACTGAGGGCTGAGTGACCTGTCGACATGGGATACGATGGTATACATCCATGTTAAATCCCTAGGGATCCCATGATCCAAGTACCCGGCTACCGGTGGTCTCGGTCTCCTGGACCTGACATGTCTCGGTCTCATGTCTGGTCGCTACATCACGTGTCTCCCTGTCCTCACCGGAGCTGAGGTTCGGTTTATGGAAAACACTCCCTGGAAGAATCATGGCGCTATTCCCTAGGGCTCCAACCATCTTCGAAACGGAGGTGGGCCAGGAGCATAGGGATTGAAGGCTGTCAAGATCGGACGAAGCATCTCTTGCTCTGCAAACCAGAGGGGCTGGTTGTGGGTTTTTACGAAGGACGTCACTGACGTCTTTTCGTGACATTTCGGGGGTGTAATTCGTTCTAGACCTGGAGTCTCCACTTCGTACCTGAGCAAAAATGGGACAGGTAGTTAGACCCCCTTGTCACCCACCCGAATAGGTGAACTAAAAAGTTCCCTTTGGAGAATGATCAAAGCTGGAAGAGCTCCACGTGAGGTTCTTCATTCGAACTCTCTCTTCAGACTTTCCTCAAAGGTGGTGGTTTTCCTTAAAGGTCTCTTCCAGAGGGTTGAATGTTGGCAGGTCCAAACATTGGTTACCTGGTAGTGAGGAGGGCCTCAGGGGGCCCCAGTTGTACCTGTTTGTGGTTCGGCTACCGAAGTCGGGGTCCAGGCATCACTCAGTTCTATAGACCCCTAAGGATCCACATACCTCCTCAGGTTCGGTACGACAGGGCCCTACTGGCTGCCTACATCATAAGTCTCCAATCACATCCAATCACCGTACCTCAGGTTTGGTATGTGGGTCTCCCGAAAGACCCACGATCGCTGTTGGCTTTAAACCATCCGAGTTCTTCGAGTACGGAACGGTTGGACCCCACCTCCCGATCATCCTCATTGCCGGTGACCTCCTGGTGGAACGGTGGAAGACTCCCAGGAACGGGGTAGGGTGAAACAGGGTGAAACCTGTGGTGAAAACGGGGTGATCTTCAGAACATGAGAACCAACAAGATGCAGTGCAGCTAGATGTTGCTGGACAAGGCAGCTAGATATTGCTGGACAAAAGTCATGGCATGACGGCAAATCTATATGACAAAAGCATGCCAAACAGTGCACGTTCGCTGCGAGTTGATATAGCTAGCTTCCGCTCTGACATCCAGTGTCCAGCATGCGGTCCTTCCAAATCTCGATCAGGAGCCCGTCAGCCTTATCCAGCAGCACCAGGCGTTCCTGGAAAAGACGCCATGAAAGAAGAAGGTGCTCTGTTTCTTTTTGCGTTCACCCAGGTGCAGGAAGATACAACTCTAGAACAAAAGAAAGGGCACGGTCCCTTGAAGACCACCCATTGGGCCCTCTCAAAGGGTCCCTTACCACCTTCTGTGTGATTCCCATGTTTTGCACTAGGACAGTCCAGACATACTGCTGATCCACCTGACAGACAGTCCTGTGTCCAGGTCTTGGTGAGGACTAGTCCCCCGGCCTGGACATCGATTATTTCAAGCATGAAATTCCTTAGGTTTTGCCGAACCAACCATGGTTTTACCAAGGATTTTCCGCTATAAAACCAGTTCGGCCATTTGAAAAGTAGTCTTGGAAACCTAGGGTAACTGGATGAGAATGGATTGAACTACAAGAACTCTGCTCAAATGGTAGTTCTAACTAACGATCGTTCTAACAAGAACCAACTAAACTGAATGGTGAACAAAATGCATTTCTCTTGTGCACACACTTTTCCACTGAATCCGGTGGCTCTGGCCACCGGACTTGTCATCAGGAAACTTGGTAGAAGTCCAGTTTGCATGGATTTGATCCCCTGCTAAGGGTCACCTTTCATGGTCTATAGTAGTAACGTAGATTAACGTACTACACAAGCGAATACTTACGACCCATTTCCCATTTAGGGGCTCAACTGGATGGGCTGAGGGTTTCGGAGTACACCCCACCCCTGTCCAGGGAGGTTCCCGTGAAGTGTTCCGGAAGTTCTCGAAATCGGGTCCCCAGATGTCAGAACATTCTTTTTGATAGTCGACTGGACTCCCGGTCGATTGAGGAACGGATGGATAGACAACGAACAAGACATCTGACGCGACTAGTGGGACTGGCTTATTTACATGCATTGGGGTGGTTGAAAAGGGGTCAATGTAGGCATATATATTGGAGTGTCTGGGACACATCTGAGCATACACATCCCGCCGGGTGTGGAATCGCACGTGCAGTCGTGCAAATTTTGATTCAAAAGTGCAAGCCCTCTCAGTATTTTTTCTTGTTCGATGATGTTTTTTTGGGGTCCCGGATCCTTTCATTTTTAAAACCGAATCTGCCGAAACCCAAGCGCCAGCGCAAAATCCGTCGCCGTTTTTGTCCCGGGCACTTGCTCCGCTGCGGAATGCGGCAAAGACACGGAAACAAATCCGCCGACCCCACTCGGGATCCGGTGGCCGGTGTCGTAGGCTTAGCACGAGTGGGGTACGGCGTGACTGTTGATAAAAAGACCGGGAACGGATAAGCAATCGCTTCCGGATCATATAAGTAATCGATTCCGGATCATACCTCCCCTGCCCCTCCGGAGCTTGGCTTAA